AAAAATTGTTAATAAAAGCCCTCTCATAAACCTAAATCACAACGTTCATTAAAACTGTACCAACTTACTTACCTTAATGATACTTAATAGTCGCTTTAGACCTGTGCCAAATCGATATCCGCCTAACAACACTATTGAGTATTGTTAATTACCATTCTCTCTCTTTATAAGCGTCCAACGGTCATTTTCTTTCTTGTTAGTTAGTGGAGAGTTTAGTCCATTCGCCTGCTAGCATTTTTGGTGGTGACTGTGAGATAGAACGTCCCCGACCTGAAGCCCAAGACTGTGAGATCGAGCACCTGTTGGAAGCCCCAAGCAGCTGGACTGTGATATTCGACGATCCGACCGTGAGAAACGAATTAAGTACTGCAATGACCACCCCTGATGTTTCTTTTAAGATTGTTTTTTTTTTTTGAATTAAGTTTTTAGCATATTAGAGTTTTTGTTAAGGACCAACAAACCGAGTCTGCCAGTATTTCTCTTGTTTTTTTTCTTTTTCTATCGTGATACGCTGTTGTATAGTATCTTACTCTTAGTCTTAAGTGTCACCAAGTTTTTTTTTTTTTTTAAAAAAAAAAAAAAAAATGTATGAAATATACCAGCCAGCCGCATTTAACCAACAACTATTCGAAGCCCAAACGATAGTGACCCAACATTATCAAGTATCAAGGAACCGCCCAAACAATGAACAAAGCCAGAAAAGCCACCAACTAGCAATACGATGCTCCTATTGCGGCATAAGAAGACACCCCGTTAATACATGCCCAGAAATAAGAAGAATGCAGTTGAAATGTATAGAGTTGCTCACTGCACTTACCAAAGAACAAACTGCAGAAGTCTGGAAGATAAACGACAAAACCATCAGCAACCGTATCTTTAATGATCCACAAGCCCTGGAATTATTTTTAGAGAGAAAAAGCCCGCCCATTGTGTCTTTAGTAGTCTCAAGTCTGAAAGTGCCCCCAACACAGCCCTGACACAAGGAAGAACTCAAACCCGCCAACCGTAGATATTGTTATAAAAATAGAATTGGCATTGAAAAGAATGAGAGAATTACAGTTAAAAAAGATGAATCTAAGGAGTTCACTTTTTATCAAAAACCGGCAGAAATAAGACATGCCAATGGAAAAGACAACCTTGGTTATTGCCGCCAAAATGGAATTAATGCTGAAAAAAATAAAACAGACTCACCAACCAATAGAATTGGAGTCAAACTGGATAAACCTAAGACATTCGATGGCCTAAAGAAATTGCTAGTACAGATCGACCAGATGAAGGAAATATTGATCTAGAGCCCCTCCTCCAAGAGTTTGCTGCTAAATGCGATGCTATCATACAGAAATGGGCCCCAAAGAAAAATGGTGTTGAAAATGATAAAGTGTGGTGTTTGAAGCCCGCTGAAGGTGAAAAGCTGGGTGGAATTGAAGTCGAAAAGGATGAAAATGATGGAATTAGAGTTGAAAAGAGCCAACCCAAGGCCTCCACCTACCAAGAATCAGCGGAAATGGGTCAAAAAGATAGTGACCAAGAGCTGAATATCTTTAGTGATCGTCTCTGCGACGAATTGAATCTGTATGAAAATCCTTGGCACGATCACGAAAGTCTGGTAGTGCATCCCCCCGATGCTAAGAATTGTTTCGTCGACATTGACCTTGAATCTTGCTACTATAACAGAATTGGTATTGAAAAAAATGAACATGATGCATTCATTTATTACCAAAAGTCTGCAGATATGGGTGATGCCGATGGAACACGTCTGGTTGAACCCGGCTACGAGAAAGAAATTGAAAAGATTGAAGTAGATGCCATTAGTAAGTCAGAACCAAATGAATGGAACCAGAAGAAGGGAGAAGAAATACGAACCTTCTATAAAGCTTGAATACATCGACAATGATGAAACCGACGACGAAAGTGACCATGAAACGTTGGTTGGTGATGACGATAATCATGAGAAATTAAATATCACCCTACATGAAAGACCTCTGAAAAAAGAAGCCCTGCAATGAGCATGTGAAGAATGGATGGAAAAAGTTAACAAATTTCAGATGATCACGTGTGCAGTAAAAAGGCCAACTGAAATAAAGACTATCGAAGGACCATTTCAAGAAATTGGTGCCGAAATGGATGAATCATGTGAACGGTATTAGGAAGACGCTGAAGATTACAAATTAGATGGACAGTTCGACCCTGGTGGACCTTGTTATCAGAATGAGCACCGTCTT